TTCATAGTCAATTACATAAGCGATCCTAAGGTGAAGAAAAAGCTAGGCGCGTTCAGCGACAAAAACAGCCCGGTTTATCTAGAAGGGATCCTATCCTATAAAGGGCGATGGTGCGATATCAACCATAGGCCCCTTTGGGAATCGGCTCGGATTTTACTTCGAATAGCAGAGACGCAGTCCGGACGTGTAGGAGCCCCCCACCCTCCCTTCTCTTCAGACTGAGACTGCGCGAAGCGCGGCTACACGCCAAGCGCTTAAATCAAGGTGGTGAAAAATGCATCGCCCTCTGCCGTAGACGGTATGACATGGCAATCAAAAGGACCTCAAGCTTAGAAAACTGAAATAAGCGCCTAGAATGCTGTAGCCCTGATTCCTCGGACAGCAAAATTTCCCTTGTTTTCATATACAGTTTGAAGCACAATAAGTGAAGCATATTGAAGGTTCGTTGCTGTTTTCGTATACATTGGTGGTCGACGCGAAGCAAAAGGAGTAAAATGGTATCAGTGTTTCACCACCGGCGACACACATTTCACTGGTACGAGACTTTTCTGAATTTTAATCCTTTTTCTAGTTATACCATCATTTGCGAGTTTCTTCGGGTCGTGAAATTGTACCGTTATCATCCGCTCCTCATTCCAGCACCAAATCTGAGTGATTTCGATTCGTCATCGTTGTTCACACTTCACGATCGCCTGATCGATACTCGTCCGAGTGTGGCACGAGCTCTCGGCGACCGGTTGATCGCACGTAACTCGCGATACCCAATTGTGATTGTCTGCACGATTGTGTTGATCTTCGCTATCTGGGGCTGCATCAACATGAAGTGAGAGTTTTCGTAAATGCAAAAATCTACAGTCATTATCCCTGCAAAAGAGAAGGCGTGTGGGGTGGGGGAGGGGCGTGGATTGGATCTCAGCTAGGGCGGCCTTTTCCACCAATGACGCCATCCTGAGCCTTTAACGTTTGGTGGACAAGGATGCCCTGACTGTGCACCAGTCCTGGCCCTTTCTTTTGCAGGGATAATGACAGCACTTTAGGTGATTTCCCGCGGGGAAAGGCTTATCGTTGTCAACTCCTATCAAAGCTAACTGGTTCTTGATTTCCAGGATTGACCTACGTGAGGAACATTTCTTACCGTCAGCCGCACCTGCACGTTGTTTCTTAGAGGAATATAGAGAGATGTTTGGCAAAACTACACAGTTTGTAGAGGTTTGTGACACGAATTTGAAACTGAATGAATAAAGTGCAGAGGAATCAAAACAATAGTGGACGCTAACAACATCTGAAGGGGACATCTGAAGGATTCTTTGTGCGTGCAAAGTCACCTTATCCTTCCTATGTGAGCGTTTTCCGAGCAGAAGTGTTCCTCAGCAGTTAAAGACAAATTATACACTCACCTCTGTGAAACCTGATCCTTGCCATGTGTGAGATGAATGGGTCCGCAGCTGCAGTAGCGTGCCACCTTCTGTGGTCAAAAGTGGACGGGAACCGTACTGGAGGGTAGTGATACCCGATTGTCGTGTCCATACTCCGTCAGCGCTGCCGCACGGTCAGCCAGAGGCCTGACCGTAGCCAGACGCGCTGCCTGTCTGCACCCTTCTCAGTTTGGTTGTTCTCTAGCACTCTTCTTCTTCTTCTTCTTCTCCCTAGCGTTAGTCCCGCGCCGTCGCAGGGTCCGCTGTTCTTGTTAGACGTCGCCACTTGTTCCGATCCACTGCATCTTCTGCTGTGGCTTTCACTTCAGTGAGGTCCCTCTTGATGACGTCCCTCCATCTTTTCTTTGGGCTCCTCGTGGTCGCTTGCCCTCTGCTTCGAATTCCAATGCCTTCCTTATTGGGTGGTCTTCAGGCCTCCTCAGTACGTGCCCATACCATCGCAGTCGCTGCTCTCGTGCCTTCAGCTGGATCGCCGTCTGTGTGACCGCCCTGACGTCCTCGTTTCTGACTCTGTCGAGTCTCCTCTGCAGGCCCATCTCAGCATCCTCATTTCAGCTGAATTGGAGCTGCCTTCTCATGGTTCTTGCAGCCAGCATTCACTGCCGTAGAGCATTGTAGGCCTTACCACCCCGGTACACCTTGCCCTTTGAGCGTTCTCGAGCACCGCCGGTCGCACAGGATGCCAGTGGACTCCCTCCATTTCATCCAGGCTGCGTTGATTCGGGCCTTCACCGCCTGGTCCACGCTGCCATCAGCTGCTAGGTCGCTCCCCAGGTACTGGAAAGTCCTCGACCCTTTCGATGCTCTCGCCATGGCGGTCTACGATGAGTTCGGCGCACTCTTCGGAGCTTAGGAACTTGGTCTTCTTTACGTTCAGCCGGAGTCCATTCTCAGCGAGCACATCCTGCCACCGCTGCACCTTGTCCTGGAGTTCTTCCCTGCTGTCAGGGCGATGTCGTCAGCGTAGAGGATGGTTTTCAGTGGTCCCTCCATGAGTTCTTTTGCCATGACATCTAGAGTCAGGAGGAAGAGGAACGGCTGAGGGCTGATCCTTGGTGTACCCCAACCGTAATGTTTACCTCCTTTGTCAAGCCGTGAGGGGTGCGTACAGCTGCTTTAGCCCCATAATATTAGGTTGTCCGGAAAGTTCTTAGCGTTTTGTGCACCTATTTTTTGTACATTCACTGCTGATTAAAAACTCATTCTGCCTTGCTTCTCAGTAGCACATCCTGTAGAGAATTTCTTGCGCTATCTGATGGTATAATTGCCGTTTCACCATTGCTTGATAAACCCCCTTTTTTCAAGATTTTTTCAAGCATGTGAAAAGAGCACTTCGGACGATTTTTTTCTTCGACTATAAATTGGGGCAATCCGCAATCGAAACAGCTCAACAAATTAACCAGGTGTGGGGGCCCAATAGTGCTAGAGAAAGCACTGTGCGGCAATGGCTCAACAAATTTCGTTCTGGAGATTTCAGCCTTGAAGATGAACCTCATAGCGGTCGACCTAAAGCAATATCTGACGAGGATTTTAGGGGGATTTTGGAGGCTGACCCATCCCAAACAGTTCGAGAGATAGCAGAAGAGCTAGGCCTTGGCAAATCCACTGTTGCAGATGGTCTGGAACGCATTGGGAAGGTGAAAAAACTCGACAATTGGGTGCCCCACAATCGGAGTGACCGGCAGGAATCGGCACGTCTCGAGGTTCCTTCTTCACTGCTTTTGCGCAACAGAACGACCTGTTTTTGGACCGAATTGTCACCTGTGATGAAAAATGGGTCATGTATGATAACAGGAGACGTTCCGGACAGTGGTTGGATTTCGACGAACCACCGAGGTAATTTTCAAAGCCGAACCCTCACGAAAAAAAGATTCTGGTCACGGCTTGGTGGTCATCGGCTGGTGTGATCCACTATAACTTTTTATCACCAGGCCAAACCATCACAGCAGAACCCTACTGTGAAGAAATCGACGAATTGTACCGAAAATTTTGTCAGATGCAGCCAACACTTATCAAAAGAAAGGGTCCGATTCTTTTGCATGACAACGCCCGCCCACACGTTTCACAAATCACTATCCATAAATTGAACGAATTGGGGGTTGAAGTTCTACCTCAACCGCCATATTCTCCAGACCTTCCACCAACCGAATATTCCCTTTTCAAACATTTTCAGAACTTCCTTGCTGGGAAATACTTCATCAAACAGGACCAGGCAAAAAAGCCTTCGTGGATTTCGTGAATTTTCGACCACCCAGTTTTTTACTTTGATGGGATTTCTCGACTGCTGTCACATTGGCAAAAGTGTGCTGATTCGAATGGTGCCTATTTCGATTAAATCCGATGAGTATTAAAAAAGTTACGATCGTTTAAAGTGAAACACCCAAAACGCTGAGAACTTTCCGGACAACCTAATAGTTCTTCACTATGGAGATGGTTGTTCTCTAGCACTGAGTACCTGTTTCGCTGCGGTATCTAGCTATCCACGCAAGAACTACTTACTGAGGACAACACAGGCTGAGTATGGAGACGGCACCTTGGTATCACTCTCCTCACCCATTACCGTGCTTTTTCTGAGCAGAGAAAGAGGCACGCTACTGCAGTTGCAGACTCACTTCTCACATGCAAAGGACCATCCTCGGAAGTGATCGGAGGTGAGTGTACGGTTTGTCTTCAAGAAAGGGAAACAATAAAGGAAGACGTAATGAGGTAATGCCTTAAGCTGCAAACAGTTAGGCTGAGGCGCCGTTGGTGTCCCCACGCTGTACAAGAATATAATGTTTTGATCTTGAAAGGATTTTTTGTCTTGATTTTGAGAATTTCAGATTGTTATTGAGGACACTGTGGAGTACGACGATGAACAGATTCGAGATTCAATTTTGGAAATAATGGACAGTGCAGTGGTTCGGTTTTTTTTTGAGAGATTGATTTGAAGTTCCATTTTTTGCCATCTCTTGCCTTGCCAAGAACTCTGAGACATGGGCAAAGGTCTCAACCTTGGGCGGGACTTGTACCCGCATCCCACGCCTTAGTGGGTCCATCTTTTGCATGTCTTGAAGTGGTGCTTAGTAGGGCACATCATCATTGGGGATTCCTTAACAGGGGGATCGTATTTGGGCACTGGGGCTGGGGGTGGGGTTGCATTTTGTCTGAGAAAGAATTTTTCGATTTAGTTCTTGTCTTAGGAATGCTATAAAGGTAGTATTTGCTCGTTGTTGCAGGGTTGGTCGTATTTGCCTTCTGGTCTTCTGGGAGAGGTTGTTGACTTTAAAAATTGGTAGGAAGTTGGGAAAATCTGAGAAAGTGGTAGGTAGGATGGGGAAGGTGAGAGGGCGT